AACATGTTATTTCTTTGCCATGAAGTCATCTCACCATTCTCCTTTCCAGCAACTATATTTGTGTTAATCAGAATGCTGCACAAAGCCAAGAATATACATGTGGTCATGAGGGAAAAAATCTTCCATTGGTATAATTCTGTGGTTATGCTTTCCTTTGAAAACACTTTTTGGAACAAATGCCATTGTGGGTAAACCAGTAAAATTACAACATGCAGATCTTCAGAATGTAAACAGCATTGCAGGCTAGAAGCGATGAACATGGCCCCAAAGAAGATAGCTGGAAAGATGGTAACCGTTCCACTCTAAATCAGATTAGAGGTCTCAAACATCAGGAGATTAGATATGCGATCACATTAGTCGCACCTTACCAGTGCCCTCCATATTGTCTCTTGCATTTTGCAGAGCTGATACTCTTGACAAACAGAGTTGATGAGGATAGTCTAATGCGCCTTCGTGACTTCTGTCATTGTGATGCATGTTTACAACCCAAAAACTTGCTCAGTTTCCACATATCTGGTGACTCTTGGTTTTAGAGATTAATCAATATTTCTGATGATCATTGATGTTTTTTTAAATCGTTCTACCTAGAGGTCAGTGATTTGAATTAATGAGCAATGTGAGAGATGATGATTCTATTGAAGAATTTAATAGTCTGGCTGAAGAGCCCACACTGCCCCGAGACCCATGTAGCTGTGCTGCTACAGAAATAAATTGAGCTACATCTCTGGGGGGCAAAGGCTTGATTTTTCATCTTACCTCTCGCCTTACAATCCTGTACAATAAGCCAACCATCTTTGCACACATACACTGCTTTCTCCTCTGTGACTCATTACCTCTGCATTGGAAAGTTTCGAATCAAGAAATAAGACTTTTTCCACTGATTTTGACTCATTTTCTGCCACCCACAGAGAAAAGAAGGCTGACATGTGCAAAGATGCTCTCATACAGTCAAAGGTTGTCATGAAATATTTGGTGGTATCAAGAAGCAGTTATAAAGAAAACAAAGAGAATCGCCCCAGTATGTTGTCTGTTGAAGATTTTCACTGTGCCCTCTTTCCCAATTAATCTAGACTGCAGTTTCAGGTTCTTTCCTTTAAGGTCCTGTTCAGCTAAGATCAGTCCCCACAGGTTCATCTTCATTCAAGTGGAATAATGAAGACAAATGTTCAGTAAAACGTACAGCAAATGTCTTTTTAAAAACTTTCATACTTCTAATATGACATGAGTGGACTAGGTAAAAACATAACGGGGCTGTATAACATGAAAAATGGTCAGGTCAAAAGATGGACCCTTAAGACATTGAAAAATGCTATTTGTCTGTCTGTGTGTACTTAAGATTAATTTGTTTGATATCTTGGTCTCAATGAATACCAAATGAAAGCCTGAATCAAATGATTTACAGATGAGCTTGTACATATCAACTGAAAGCGTGTTTTCTCAATTTTATTTTAGACTCATGATCCTCATTCCTGTGAGTGTCAGTGTTTACTCAGCTGTCACATAAATGTAGTCAGTGAACATTACGACTTTATTTCTAAATTATGGTATTGTATGTTTTTTGCCCTTATTCGGTCAATCAACTGCTAAAAGAAGTAAATCATCATTTCTATCACTATAAAGATTGTACATTTGCTATTTACATCTGTTAAATTTCAGCAATTTTAAATTGTATTTATATAATTATATGATATTAGGTGTGGAGGTGTTTCTGGGGAATACACTATAATTAAAAAGAATGTTCACAAGTGTGTTTATTTGTGTATAGTGTGTATAAAATTTGTATACACAAATTTATAAGGGGCTGTCAATTTTGTTGTTAGAACCGAATGTTTCTTTCATATGAGGCGCAAAGCACTAGTGAAATTTATTCACACACTCTCATCCTCAGATCCATAATGTTCAATCTAAGCCCGATGTACCTCAGACTGAAGCAAATAAATATCAGATGCTAGATTAGATCAGTGTCAGAAAAAAATCAATAGACATCTCTTCACTTTAATAAAGCACATATAAGCTTGAAAAATTTCATTAAAGGACCTGAGTGATATGGGTCTGCTTGGTCTGGGAATCTCATCACCGGTGTAAAGTTTAACTGGGCAATGAGCTCCAGCTCTCGGGCCTTGAACACACACACCAGCCAAACTGAACAAGTGGGATATGAGAGTGGAGACCTCTCATGAGATTATATCAGATCTGAGGACTGTCATCTGTTTCTCTCCCACTCACATCTGCTCTTGCCTGACTGCATGTGTCCTTGTTAGGAATCGTTCTGGGTGAACAGATAAGGCAGCCTATGTGCACCGCGTGTCTTCAGTCCCATTCAGCTAAAAAAAAATACAATGATTCACTACTTATTTGCAATTACACATTTCATATGCTGTCACTGTACAGATCCGAAAACAAGTCATCAAGATGTCAGCTAAATCTCTAGGAACAATCTGAGAGACTTTCCATCTGGAATTATCCAGGTTGACAATTCTCCTACAAAGGTTTTTATGGTGGCCAGTCTGCTGTACATCGTATGAGTGCAGGGGGAAACATTTAGAGAACAATTTGAAACTTAAATGCCTAAATCTTTATTGCTGTTCCCATGATGTCTGAGCAAAGTTAGATTAATATTTAGACCATAAAATGAGTCATACCTTTTGTTTAAAGAAAATTACCATCCATGTCCTTGTGAAGGATATGGGATTGTAGATGGCCATAAGTGGACCAAGAATAGAACAGGATTTTGTCATGCAGGACATCAAGATGTTATGTAAGGGAAGTCACTCAATATCATCTGAAAATGAATGTGCACGCTTTGGTTAGCTCCCACTCTCCAAAACACACATAGTTGAACTGTCTATCAGCCCATCCATTTCCCATGCTACTTATTCATTGTAGGGCCACACGAGGCTGCAGCCAATCCCAGTTGACATTGGATGAAAGGGAGGGTACATCCTGGACAGGTCGCCAATCTATCACAGGGTGTAATTCACCTTATGAGCGTAAAATCGACTTTAGGTGTGTATATAGCTCAGTGTGTGTGTGTCCTTGTGATGGATTCTCCAGCTATTCACTTCAGGAGTTTTTGTTGCATTAAATGATTAGACTTTGAATAATGAATAATACATGTGTTCTTTTAAATACTCTTTTTTCCCTTTTGTACACTTAAGCTAGAGTCTTGCCGACTCTTGTGATTCTGCTCATTGGAAAGGGTTTAGAAAATGTTCTTCAGAATCCCACGACATTGTTAGATTTGTATTGTTTAATCCCTCATGAAAAGTCAGATGCAGCTAAATCTGTCCAGACCATGTCACCGCAACTACTCTAAAAGGTAGTACTAAAGAAATGAAAGGACTGGTTATCTCCAGACCTTTCATGGAATATCAGCCATATTTGTGATTTTTGTTGACCTTTATAGTGCAAAAAAATCATTTCTGATGTTCCTACAACTGAGAGATGAATCATATTTGAGAGGTTTACATCTTCCAAAGACTCCAAAGAATTTGACAATTTATCCTGAATTGAACCCTTTTATATTTCAGAACTGAATATGTTTTGAATTAAAATGAGGTCTACGTGTCAGGGAAATGGGAGTTGGAAAATTAATATGATCTGAATATTGGTTAATATTATCTAAATACTGGTTACATTTGGAGTACAAAGTTTGACTAACTCCTACTTTTTCTTTTACTAACTCCTCGTATTTCAATGTATCTCAGCATCACAACCCTTAGAATATGTGAGAGGAGCAAAGAAAATTATCTGTTGTTTGTGCAGGTTTAAGAGGAAGTCAACAAATAAGTATTGCTTGTGAAACATTACCAGGAATGTAACGTGACTTTAATGATGATTTAATGCCATGCTGCTTTCATTACTAAGGGAGGAAATCTTTGCCATTCATTACTGGTGAAAGCAGTGGGCTGGGTGTGCTGTTGTGGCAATTTGCAAAAGGCTGGCAGGTGCCATTCCAAGAAATGTTATGGAAAATGAACCGTTCTTTCAAAGGAAATAAAAATGGCAATCTGTCTTTTTGCAAATTCATGTAAGCGATGTCTTCATGTGAGGGGTCTGACGCTGTCAAAGCTTGACAGAACGGCATAATCATGAATGTGGACATATCACAGTTCATTGACACACTGGAGTGGAGACAAGAAATAAACTAAAACCAGCAACGAACCGATCAACAAATCTGGGGGGAACCAGTCCAGTTCTGATGGAAAGAATATTTTAAAGAAAGGAAATAAGTACAGTGTGCTTTTTGTGTTCCACAATTAGTCTGACTTTTTGGGGTTTTGGTCAGAGACTCTACTGCTCTAGTGGAATGCCTAGCTTTTTCCTGCATTAGTATCAAACGTCTGAAGTCCAGCTTCAGGGGTTACTGATATTTTTTAAATAAAAATCCCCTGCAAATCATATGCTTTAAATTTTTTGCCAGAAAAAGTAAAAAATCTTCCATGGCCTTAATTTTGCGTGGGAGGAGTGCATGGGCTCTTTTTGTGAGAGGGGATTTATTAAATCAGCTCTACCCACATCCCTGCTTTTCCATGCTTTCGGATTGTCTCTTAAGTCTGCTAAACTGGCTCTGCTGTGTTCACATTCGAAAGAACAAACACTAATCTATGACCGATCAAAGCGGTTGCGTCTCATTTAGCTGCTCACTTTGTGAACTGGATTCTACTACATGGGCAATCATATTGATTTAAACTCAAGTCTGCCTTTACCAATCCTTTTCAGACATTTTCGTCATGAAATAAGTGAACTAGGCAGGCCTTCAAGTTATTCATACACATGTTTCAGGATGATAAAAAAGGGACAATTTTGGCTCAGTAAGAGCTTTTTGACACAACAACACTTTTGAGAACAGACTACTTCGACTCAAGTAATCTGTTTTGTTTTCAAAAAACAAAACACATTTAAAAAGTTAGTTTTTAGGGAGTTGATTCTCTGTGAGATTAAAGCACGTCTCTCGTGAGGGATAGACTGGCGCACAAATGCTCTTCCAGGAGGTGGGAGGAGCGTGCTGGGCTGGGACGCTGCACGACGCAGCAGCAGCAGCAGCAGCAGTCCCGTCAAAAGCTGCGGGTCCACCTCCAGCAGACAGACGGCTGCTACACCTGTAGTGGGACTTTTAATAGCTCTCGGCTCGGATTAGGCGAAAATTGGTTTCATCGAAGTCAACGCCTTAATCATGATCCAAGGCATTTGGAGGCAGAGCACTGGGACGACTTAGGTAAAAACGATATCATTTCATCTGATGAGATATTTGTACAAAAGAAAATGTTTTGTAACGAAACGGCGTTCCTCTTTCTCCGCATGCTTGTGCGCAATAGACACCTTTGGGAGAAGACGCATGTGATTCAGGTGCGTGAATCATTTAAAAGACAGAAAACGATTAGGCTTGTTATTCCCAAATATCTCCAATTCAGGTGAGCGAGACTAACTATCGTAATTAGGTCTCGATCTCCATTGGTTTTATAATGATGGAACACCCAGACGCTCCAGTCGCAGTTTGACTTATCTGTACAATTATTCATTTATCCATTAGAGGTTTGTTTTCTCTTTGCAAGTGAAACTTTTGACAGATTTATCTTGGATTGAAAAACACAATCTCCTCTTAGAAATTGAGCTGTTTCAGCCACCTGACATGTTTTGTTTTTTGCAGGATTAAGAGAGGCGTTTTTCTCGAAATGACGATGCATCTCTTTTGGGTGGTCTTAATTCTGACCGTGACACGAATTGTAAAAGGTAATCTAAGACTGGATCTCTCAGATGAGACAACTGGCAGTGAGACAAAAAGATTTGAATCTCTACATGAAAAATCAAATGCTTTCTAAAGTAATGGATTCTCTGTGTTGGGAAAAAAAAACTCTGGCGGATGAATATTTCATTATTTTGAATGTTTTATGTGTGTTTTGATTGTTGATGCAAGGACGCTGCTGTCCCCTCCGTTTTTCTTTCAATAGGCTGGGAATGCAACACAGGGTGCAGTACAGAAAATGGGTTTTGTGAGAAGCCAGGGAAGTGCAGGTAGGCTACTAAAATTACCTCAGATTCCTGTGGAGATGATAGTCAGCATCCCAAGGGCTTTTCCAACCTTGTTTCCATAAATTGCCAGTTTTTGTTTCTAATCCATTGTTCAGCTTACACAATTTTTTCCAGCATCTCGCTTAAGCCTTCATTGTGCAAATGTCAAATAATTTTGTTGGAATGTAAACATAAACATAAATCATCCTTGACAGCATTTTAGTTCGGCTGGTCGCTTTTAACATCTTCAGTTGTATGATTTTTAGTAAATGTTACACCATGCCTTTAATTTTCATTGAAAATCTGATTTAGAAACAGCAAGCAGGATTCATGAGTACAAAAACAGATAGATGAAAGATGTGTGGGAGGTAGATTTATAGTCCACAATTATTCAGCTTCCCCGTCCTCTATTTTAGGTGCAAACCAGGGTGGCAAGGAGAGAACTGTGACCAGTGTGTTCCCTTCCCCGGCTGTCAGCATGGCACGTGTGAGAAGGCATGGCAGTGCATCTGCAAAGAGGGCTGGGTAGGCAGTCTGTGTGACCAAGGTGAGTCTCATTAAGCTTCGCAGCCTTTGTTATCTCTGTCGGCCTCAACCTTAGAGCCAAATAAGAATCTGACTTATTTATCTGTTTTGCTTTCTTTTCTTTTCTTTTTGGACAGGGGGTCACATAGGCTGCCACAAAAGCTGTTTAGCAATGTTGAATGTATTTCTACATGGGCTAGTTGGAGTATGAAATATAGTTTACATCTATAGATCTTGGTTACAAAGCAGGAACACTGAATAAACAGATTAACTGCAAATATCTCCTTATAAACTGCGGATATTTTTACACATCTGTCTTTAATCATAATGTATATGTTGAAAAAAAAAAAGCAGTTGCATCTAATCTAGTTGAATCCACATAAACTATTTTGCATGAAACAAAAAACAAGCAAAAGGCCCCTTAAGCAAAAGGGGAAAAACAGAGAGAATATTAAATGCTCTTTTTTTTCTGGGAGGGAAGGAAAAGATATCAGGCACAGTTTGATCCATTTACCCATACACACACGCTGCATCTCATTTTCCGTTGGAGCATATGTGCTGATCGTTGGTGTGACCTGTTCAGTTGTGTTCTCAGTCTTGTTTTTGATGAAAGGATGCTGCTGCCGTGCTGGGTGTAGTGAGAGTGGAATCAGAGAAGTGGGGTGAAACGTACACACGAGCGAATACGCTTTGAAAGATAGAACTTGCATGATCTAAAGACAACATGCTGTTTTTCCCATTTCTTGCTTTCTTTCTTTTTCCCCAACAGATACTCGCCTGTGCTCATCTAGGCCTTGTGCCAGTAATGCCACCTGCATAGAGACAGGAGAGGGAGGATACCTATGCATCTGTCCCCAAGGTTATGCTGGAGGGAACTGCCAAGAGAAGACAGGAATTTGCCTTACAAATGGGTACTAGTACATTTTGATTGGACCATATGGTCTTGCCTTTAATCTTTTTATTTTTTGTCATTTCATAAAGGTGTTTCAGATCAATTTTTTTTTTCTTTGCAAAGACAGCTGTCTTTGCAAAAAAAAAAAGTCATTGTCCTTTTAGTTAGATGTATTCAAGCTGCATGTCCAGCATTCATGCAGCATGATGGCCATTCAAATTTAAAGATCCTGAATTCCACCTAAGAATTTGCTCTTTTATTTTCATCTCCTAAAAGCTCTAAAGCAACTAAATGTTCTTGTTTTTTTTATTTCACCACATTTTACAGGCATTTATTAAAACAGGATACTGGTCTTAAATCAGATTCTGTCAAATATGTCAATTCAAACTGATGATCCAGTCACCGATTAACTGAAATTTCATTTGAGACATCTGGTGATTTCTGGGTCTGTTTTTAAAGTAAATGTTTTGGACATTCAGTCTTCTTGCTTATCTAATCATTACAAAACAGCACTTCCACAAAAAGAAAATAATTATTGTGATTGGTGTCACCAAGCACTTTTCTACACCGTAAATTTAGCTGTCATCTCAAACTAAAATAAATATCCATGCAGCCATGTTCAAGCATGCTTTTACAGCAGCTGGCTGGGTGTATTTGAACAGGATCACAAACGATGTGCTGCTTCAGAAGCTGCAACCTTCAGATTCACCATTTTGAGAGCTGCTGATCAACATCACTTGAAATGTGTCAAGGCTGTCGCATTTCAAAACCCCCTTCAAGCAGTATGTGGCCCAAAAAAATCACACTTTTCTGCCAACAGGAAGACCCTGATATAAACTTACCATCTGTGAGGGTTTCAGTTGTACATTCTAAAGGGTCCTCCTCAGTGAGAAATGACATTGCCTTAAATAAGTGGTCTTCCAAGGAGGGAGGTGGGGTGAAACTGTCACAGTCTGCATCAGAGCACTCACTTCACATAACGTAATGGCCACTACTACTACTTATTGTAATGTCTCAGCTCAAATTTTAAAAGGTTTCTGTCAATAGGTGGAAAAAGCTGTGTGAGACATAACACTCTCAAGCTTTTAACACATACTAGTGTATTCTAAAGGTTAGAAAGGATCCTGACATTTTTTTTGGGGGGCGGGGGGGCGTTCTCCTTCAAAACATAAAGTCACTCACTGGATTGAGAGCTAACATTTTGGTTGAACATGAGATTTATTTGGATTCCATTTATAGGGGGTGACATTGGCACAGCTGGTTTAGTAAAATCAGCACCATTTTAAAAGCGGGTAAATGCAAGAGGAATGAAGGAAAATGGCCTTCGAACAACTCAGAATAATTTTTATCAGTGCCACAACATGATTGTACCACTTGTCGGGATTGGTCTTTTATATGAACTGTAGGTACGTTTGTTCCCTTATAAATTCAGTTTAGAAGCTCAGGAAATGAAGCCCAGACATTGGTATTGTACTTGTTCATTGGACTGGTCAGGCTTTCAGGACATGTGATGGAAGCTGCAAAACGGACGTGTTTAAAGTATCTTACTGGTTTATTGTAAACATAACAATGCAGTGATATTTGGCAGTAAAAAAGAAAGATCAAGAATTTTTGACTTGCTTTAAATCTGAAACGGAAGCAGTGGAACATTCCTTTGAGTAACAGAAATGGTCTGTCTGCTGCTGGATTACAGATGGATAGATCCCTGGAGGAGTCTTCCTCTTGGCCATCAGAATATGAAATCTGTAGGGGGATGCAGCTTGCCCTTCAAACTATGAAGCCCTCCATGGTTGCTCTGTCAGACAATCTAGTTATTGACTTGAATGATGCACCTCAACCTCACTGGTGTACTGATAAGTGGTAGGGAATTGTCAGCTGTCCTCCTCCTGTAAAATGATAATCCATGTCCGCAACTCGCAGTGAGACAACTGGAGTCTGTCTTGAACATGTGCCAGTAATCAGCTACTGTGTGGCAGAAAGTTTAAAGTATGCCAGAGTTTCTCTTTGGACTCACCCAGACGAGGTGTTGGATGTCGACATGATTTAACAAAGCACTATTGGAGAAATCATTTGCTTCTCAATCAGCGTTTCCTGCGTGTTAGTGTGACTGGATTGATTAGACTGGCGCTGATGATTTGATCAGGTAACCTTAAAAGAAACTGCAGAGATTTGTTCGATTTTCATCTCGTCTTTGGTTCAAATGATTGATTAGTGTAGCATGACCCAAATTTGTTTCATTAGTTTCATTTGCTTGTTTCATTATCTGGGATATTTACAGGAATTTGAAGTTATTGACCGGTTTAAATATCAGTTTGGAAATGATTTTTTTAATGAATTTTTTGTAGCTGATACAATCATTTGAGAGGATTTGATCTAAACCGTGCACAATACATAAAAACGGTCCCAGACTGGCCAAAACTACACTGAAGGTGCCATGATCTTGTTTTCTTTTTAATGACTAATAGGAAGCCAATCCTCTTCATGCTTTGCAAACCGGCTCTGGATTGCGTCTTTGAAGTACGCAGAGATTATGTTTGGATCCTTCAAAATGTAATTAGAGAAGTGTTGGATAATCACATCAGTCTGTCCTAAAAATGTTTTACTCCAAAGAAACTCATTCGGAGAGCCTCAATATCTCCTAACAAACTGGGCCAAATTATCAAGGACATGCACCAGGTGGTACCAACAAGATTAATGTAGCCTGAATACCTTGTAGACCAGGAAAGCAGTCTGATAGTCGTTTCTACTTATTAACTCTGAGATAAACCTAAAGGCATCTTGACTGCCATGATCAGAGCTGGTGGAGTTATCCAGATAAAAACCTACATTACTTCCCTCATTGTCTGATTTACTATAGGACACTGTAAACCATCCTTTATGCGTAGACCCATGATTTCAGCCATAAATCACTTGCTTATGATGTGATATTTACATTATATTGATATAATATGGCCTCCATTGCACAACATGAAAGTTTTATCAGGCAATGTGTCAGATTTATGATCATCTTACATAAATTCAGTAGGCTACTAAAAGGTGAACAAAGATAAATTAGAAATCATTATTTGGAAATATAAGCTGAGTTGCATGAGCAGATATATGAACACATCATTTAAAGGTGTTTCACAATGTTCTTCTCGGTAATGGACTCTTGATTGTCCAATAAATGTCAGTTGGATTAAGTGCATATGTTGTTCTGCCGCTGTGGTTTTAGGAGCCCATGGTAAATTATACCTTGACTGAACTTGAATACTACATAGCGGACTATTTTCTTTGCAGTAAATTGACATTAAGCTGCTCTGTCCTTTAGCTCTCCTTGTCAGAACGGTGGTACGTGTATGGATGCCGGTGGCCTTGCAGCCTATCCTTCCTGTTTATGTCCCCCTGGATTTTCTGGAGACTACTGCGAGATCAGCATCGACAGCTGCCAGCCAAACCCATGCCTCAACGGTGGCAACTGCACAAACCACGGCCTGGCTTTCACATGTGTCTGTCCACATGGTTTCAGTGGTTTCACTTGTAATGACACCACCAGCCTCTCCCCTTGTGCTGGGGGGCCCTGTGCCAATGAAGGAACTTGTATTGGTCAACCCGACGGGACTTTCCGGTGCATTTGCCAGAAATGGTTTACTGGTCCCACATGTTCCCTGCACCACAAGCCAAAAACAAGATCCAAGTCGGTCAGTGCCAGGCCAGTGGACGGCAGAGTGTTTGCCCTCACACCACAGCACTACTCCATCCCTGCTCACGCCTTCCACAAGCTGCTGAGACCGCCCGAAAGAGACCTGCTCAAGATTACCCTGAAGGAGACCGTCCACTCTTCTGGAATCCTTGTTACCCACGGTCAGCTCGTGTGCTTTGGCATGCTGGCTTTGCTCACCTGCCTGGTCATTTTGGGCACTACAGGAATAGTGTTTTTTGGCCGCTGTGAGACATGGCTGGCCAATGCAAAGTACAGCCAGCTTGTTCGCCAGCAACGAGAGCACCTGCTCAGAGATGTTGGCAGCACGAGCCACGAAGAGCCCCAGCACTCGGTAAACATCATATTGCCAGAGAAGATTAGACTCTCCAGCTTTGGGAGACACTACACCTCCATCTGATTGAAATGCCACCCCCTGTTCCTTGTTCAAAATGTCAAAATGAATGTCTTAAAAAAAGTATTGGTTATACAAAACTACCAATGGTGTATGATCACTTGAACAACAGAAAAGACATCAGGCAAACCCTGATATGTGTTTGAATGTATTACACTCTGGACCAATTAATGATGCTGGATTGTAAATGTGTTTATTTTTCAATCAATTAAGTGTAAAACAATTAAAATGCTATAGAATTTAAAAGGATGTTGTGTGACATTTCTTAAGGTGGCTTCAGAATTTTAAAAACGTAGTCTCTTTTTCAAAATAATTTGGAATCAAACCGTATTCTTGGAGAAGAAAATTAGTTTCCATCAAAGGAAGATAAGAGTCACCTCTTCTCTTATTTATGATTTAACTCATTTCTTGTACCTCTGACTGGATCTGAAATAACAATTACATGTTTACAATCGTTGCGAGGACTGCAACAGTTACTCAATGGACATGAAGTCAGCATCTTTGAATCGTGGTTGTCAGTCATCCTTCTGGACTAAACAATTACTTGACTACTTTTTTAACTGTCAGTTACGATTTTTTTTCTCAAACTGTTTTACTTTAATGTATTGTAAATGTGCCATTTCTTAGCAAATGCAAAAGTTAAAATTCTGTGTTTGTACAGTAGGTGTGTATTTATATTTAAATCATTCTGGTTTTAACAGAAAGGGATTCACTTCCTTTGATACCATCTTAGGCATTGTAGCTGTTTTTGATTTTTCTTTAAATGTTTCAGATATATATTAAGACAAATATGAAGACAGTCATTTTACAGAGCACAGAGAAATATTTCCATTTCCATTTTTTTCTAATGGTAAGATAATTTGTTTCTTTTATTGATCATCTATGTGAGGTATCCCCTGCAGTTTCTGAGTCTTAACAGTACTTCTCTACATGATTTTTTTTTTATCATTAGTGCACAATCAATTATTTCATGTGAAGTAAGCCTTTCTTCTGGGATTCTTGGAACTGAAACTTTAATACATGTTAAGTGGCTTTGATCATGAAAGGAAATAACTATTCAATCTGGGAGGGGGAAGGAGAAGAGATGACTGCATCTGTACAGAGTTTTGTGGTGGATTTTAGGTGTTTATTCTGATGTTATCTCTTGTATTAGAGCAGTTAATGTCCCATTGTCTATTGTTTTTAATAAAAGACACAATGTCCTCCTGATAAGTGAGTTTCAGAAGCATATTCACATTTCTTTTTTAAAAATATTTAATTTGACATATTTAATGATGATGTGTTTATCTGCTGTATTTTTTTTAACATTACAGACAAATATTTGCAAAACTGATGTATTACATCAGAATATTTACAACACCTACTGTGTGCACCACCTAACATTTTTTGACATCGGGAAATCTGTTGTTATACTTTGGTATGCGTATCCTTGGAGACTAGTCTTTCATTACAAGCTGAATGATAATCTTATCTTTATCCACACCTCTGAAGTTTATGTGATCATCCAATTAATAGTCTCTGTCTCCACCTTGTGGCTCAATTCTGCCTTTTTTTCCTATTGTTTAATCCTACTTGTTTATGTGTAATATTACTTAAAATCTTGAATGTGTTGAAACACAAAGTTTGACTTTAGGCTAAACATTTTATGGCAGAAAGAATTCCTAAGCTTTAAAAACAAAAGTTCCACACATTCTTACCTTATTTATTTAAAATAATGCACATATCAAATGTAAAATTGTTGAAAAAGACTACCTTGGACATATTGATGATTGCAGATCTGTATCACATGGATATGCAATCATTATTTATCCCAGATCTGTGAAATATATGAACACTGGGAAAGTAAAAGAGACCAACCCATAGAAATTTGAAATTAAGCAATGAAAAATTATTTGAAAAACCTCAGAGTGGTCACAGTCAGATGAAAAGTAACAGCAAACAGACATGGAGGACTGGAAAAGAGACAAACAAAACCCAATGGGACTAACATTCAGAAGACACTTTCACAGATATGATTATCATGGAAGTAATACAAAATGACAACTAAAATAAGTAAACATGAAAAGAGAAACAAAAAAAAGAATATCTTCTAGAGACACAAAATGAGCAGAACATTATACCAAACTGAAATAAACATCCATAGATAATTGGGATCACAATAAAACCACAAATCACATTAGCATGGTTTGTGGTAAACTTGAGACTCTTTGTCTCTGAAACACAATATACATTTATGTATAATACAGGAGTTTTTAATAATGGTGACCTACAGGCCTGCTAGAAGTAAACTGGTTGACACAATCAAAATGAAGAACTCCTTGAAATCCCTGTAAAAAAGTTATAATTTGACCACACTAATGCTCAGTCTCCACGGTAATGCACATCATTTTGGATGGGAGGCGAGTTACACCCTAGACAGGTAACCAGTGGCAATTTTAGATTTACCAATTAAACTAACATGCATGGACTGTGGGAGGAGGCTAAAGTACCCGAGTAGAACATGCAAACTCACACAGAGAAGTACCTGGCCTCCAGGGATGGGCTTAATCATTTCAGTTTCCTCTGCAATAACTCCAAATCGTCACTAATGCTTAAGTTTCACAACACACTTAACGGGACCCAGGGAGAACCCATGTATATATCGGGAGAACATTCCAACTAACGTACAGAAAGGCCCAAGATGGGATTCAAACCAAAGACCCTCTGGCTGTGAGCCGATGGTACTATCCACCATACCGCAATGCAGTCGTTTACTTCAAACACCAAAGGAAAAAGAATCTCATAGCTGATTTCATTTGAAAGTTTATAACAGAATGTATGTGAAAAGAAGGTGTTTAATTTACTATTTCATTTTTGTTTAGAACAGTCAAGTCCAGTCACATGCCTGACCTGCTGTTTGATCCATTGTCAGTGTACACTCCCACCACAACAGGCAAACATATTCCGCCTTAAGCTGATGACAATCAGACACAGCTGCCGCACACACACAAACGCTCTGCCTCCAAATGGAGCTCAAAAAGCTGTGTACAACTTTTCATCTCTGAACTGTTTAAAAATGTACCCTTATGAGGTTGTGGATACTTCAAGAGGGGGTGTTGATTTGGTCTCATTTCATAAACACTCCAACCACAACCCCATTTACCGGCTCCATTTGTCTTATGAAATGACCTCAAATGGCAGGATAACTGAAAACATCTGTATAGGTGGACAGCAAGATTTGCCAGATTTTGAGGAAATTATTTAACATATTAGTGTTTAATTATTAATGATTCTGTATAGACGGTTTTTTAATCAGTCACTCTGAAATAATGGGTCTAATAATAGGTCTCATTGCTCTTTCATGACAAATTCATTTTCCAGATATGATAAATACAATTCCGCAAAGGATGTTTGTCCGTTTCAGTGTTCCATAGAATCAACAGCACATCAAAGTCACTGAGTCTTGCTTATTTCTGCAACATAATGCCATACCACTTCCTGCACGTCCGACAACAACATTCATTAGTAAAAGAGGCCAGGTGCTCCAGCTGAACCCATCTGCTTCATCGTGGACCAGAAAATGGAACAAAATAAGCCCAGAACTGTTTAACAGCTTCAAAACTTCTATGAGGCATGAAGAAGGAAACATTTTACTCTCATATCGGCAGTGGATAGTCTCCAAAAGCTGAGATGTTAAATTTGAACATTTTTAAATTGACACAATTCACAAAAACAATACAATGAAATTAGATTGAATAGTTATTGAAAAAAAGACTTTATCTATACCTGAAGAAAATTCTGTTGCAGTTGTATTTTTGCCACTGGATACTCAGAAGCTTTAATTATGCTCTGTTGCCATTTCTGCTCCTACATTAGATTTACAATTATTTACTTAGCAGACACTTTTATCCAAAGCGACTTCCAAAAAGAGGGTTCAACATTCAACTACAACACCAGTTACCTTACCTTGAGTGCAATGTGATAGAAAAGGATTTGATACTAACAATTTAACATTCAACTATGACAGTGCTATATGCTATAAGGAAGCATTTAGACCTTTCAGGACAAGAGATACTGCAGATGAGAAGAGTCTAGATTGACCTGTACGAGGCGTTGGCCATGTTAGCTGGTGCTCCTTGGAGGAATGGAGAGGGTGAGCGGTGACTTAGGGCTTTAAGAGGGTGTTGAGGTAGATGGGCGCAGATCCATCAAACACTCTGTAGGCCAGCATTAGGGATTTGAATTTTATGCGAGCTGCTTAGGGAAGCCAATGGAGTTCAGTGAAGAGGGGTGTGACACGTGCTCTCTTTGGCCTGTTAAAAAACCAAACGGGCTGCAGCATTCTGGATCATGTGTAGAGGTCTCACAGCTCAGGCTGGAAGGCCTGTTAGGAGGGCATTGCAGTAGTCTAATGTTGGGTTAGATATGTCCTTATCTTCTTGATGTTGAACGGGGAGAAGTGGCACGATGGAGCAACAAAGGCCACAGGTTTCATAGCGTCATGGGGAGATATGCCATTGTGCATCTTTACCTTGTCATTGAATGAATTTCATACTAATTATACTCTCTTGATTCAATTTAAATTTGGTTGTTTCTGTTGTGAAATGGAGGTTGGCCAGTGTTGTGATTTTATGTCCAGTGACTTGAACCGCATTCTTTTTTCTTTTCAACCATGTCCAGGTACTACAAAGCAGTCCATTGACCACCTCTTTCATTTTCTTGACTCTCTGGCCCTGATGCTGATCAATTTATCCTTATTTCTGTTTTGTCCATGAGCATCCTCATTTCAATCTGCTGTCAAGTACGACTCCCAGGTAACTGTATTCCTGGACTGCTTTTCCCTCCTAACCTAGAATGGGGACAGTATTTGGCTTAATAGTGGTGCTCTTTAAATTGACAGTCATCAGTTTTGTTTTATTTGTGTTCAAAATGAGATGATGGTTATCACACCAGGCCACAAGGTGATTGACTAGCCTCATGTCCTTCACCGATACACTTAACAACTGTACTCATCTGAGTATTTCTTGAGATACCAGGACTCTGAGTTGTACTTGCAGTCCGACGTGAAAGAAAAACAAGTAGTGAACGACCTGCTGTAGGTTATGATGTCTGGGAATATTATCTCAGAATTATAATATCTCAGAATTGCATCGTCAACCAAACACAATTAACTTCTGTTTTACATTTTATCTTTGCCACAAAGTTATTTGTAGATTTCTGAACAGATGTGTTGAAGCTCTGCAGCACAATGCAGTCACAGAGTGTGACCACAGGGTGTCATTAATCTAAAAGTATTGTCAGCGGCTGAGCATACAGTGATGCCATGTCACTGCACTGGGCACGCCACATTGCTTTTACCCCAGTTAAAACTGTGCCATTGATAGCTTTGGAATTAGTGATCATTTGCTTTATCTTACACCCATCCATTTACTGCTGCTATTTTGTGTTTTGAGAAAAGCATCTGTGAAACTTCTACTGCGTGGTGCGCATCTCTAACCTCACACATCCAATAAAAATGGGAGTACCTGCAAAGCGGTGGAATTTGTCTAAGAGGTATCAATTTTTTTAATCATTCAGCATGAATTATGCCGAGGTTCCAGTCAAAGGCTTTGTTAAACTGTTAGCTCTAAAAACATTCTCAGTTTGCAAATACTGTCTTTCAATCCTAGAAAGATGTCAAATCATTGCACAGTATTAACTTTTCAATCTTGTGTCCTCAGCTACACAGTATAAAGAAGATTGTTTAGAGCCTGGTTAAGTGTTAACATGCTGGTTTCAATGAAACCTTTTTTGTGTGTAGAGGCCCCTGGCTCCCCACCACCAGACATTCATTTGTGGAGTTATGACCCAGGGGAGAGAGGGGCCCTCACCTTCAAAGCTGACCAGAGAGGCAGAAAAAAAAACACCTCGGCAGAACCATTCTGCTCCCTTCAAGTCATAAAACAAAACAGAACAGCACAAGTTAAATCTCTCCCCCCAGCCTGAGACCCTTAACCCTTTGTTCCTGCTGGCCTCTCAACAGACAGATGAGATTCAACATCCATGGAAAATCGCACATGGAAAGAATCCAGATTCAAAAAATTCTCATTGGGGGATTCTATTCAGGGGTGCATATTGGAACAAGTTATATTTCATTTCGGCAGGTACCCCTCAGTCAGCTGTCTGCTTTACATAAATACTCTGTGGTTCTGAGTTAAATGTGTTCCAGATGAGCAGTAAAGTCAGGTCACAGTGAAACCCTTAAAGTAAAACCAGTAACATATTCTTTGATAAAACTGGATTTCTTCTCTGTAACTGAGTCATCAGATGCTTTAGGCTTGTAACTTCCTGAAATAAAGTCATGACAACTATAAACTATAAACTTGATCCGAAAAGAGTTTTGTATGGCAGTGCTTTCCTATTTAAACTTAAAATTACCAGTAGACCATAAAATTACTTCTGACATCCCAAAATCATGTTCACAATTGTATTTGTTCTCAACATTCATTGAGAATTATTTTAAATAGAGCAGCTGGGGCCATGAAATTTGGACTTTTTAAAATGATAGTTCACACTCTCGATTACTCTTGTGAGACGGTCTTGAGCATATAGATTTAGAGCATACAGATTTCAATGTCATTTTCAATCATGGCAAAAAGTTGCTCCAAATTTATTTTTATTATTTCTGTAGACTTAGTTTGTATAAACATCTTTTGCTTTCTATGGGAGGTTAAAATGCAAATTTGCTGCAATAGATCCAATAGATCCAATTTAACATAAATATGTGTTTAGAAGAAAAAAATAAACTGATTTCCTGGCCCATAACAAAGCTGTCTCACATTTAGGTCATTCTTCTTTAAGTCACAACATTCAGACTGAAAGTAATAATCATTGCTCACTGACTGAATCAAATTTGTTCCCAATCAGTGATTCACAAGGACTATTTCCCCGCTTAAATTAGCCACAATATGCATCACTGTGTAGTAATATCTTTGACTAAAAGCCTCCTGTGTTTTCCATAGTGATTTATGTCCCAGTTGTGTGTATACTTCCTTGCTGATATTGGAGCTCCTTTTAAAAGCTGGTGCTGTGAAAAAAAATAGGAAGAAAAACAAGAAAATCACAAATTATTTAACGGCACCATGGTACCTGTGTTAACGTCGTTTCCTGAAACATCAACACAATATTTTTGCAACATTAGAAACACATCAATGAACTTATTTTCATTTTCTTTTGCAAATAATAATGTAATGAAACTGTTTAGGTGCATACATAAATAAGAATCCATTAACTCTTCCACAACTAATTTCCGTTGTGATGCCTTACAAACTTTAGACCCTTATAGGTGGATGTATCACTCATTGTAATAGGATAACGTGTGCTCATCCCCATTTAATTGCAAGGGGTCAGAGCTCAGGAAGGAACTGGTAAACAAAGCAGGGTTTCATGGGGGCAGCATTTACCAAAGATCTACAATGGTGCTACGCATAAGTTATTTTATCCACACAGTTTGTGTGAGTAATTTCTAATTATAATTAACCTTTAATTATAATGTACCATAAAGGAAAATAAACAAAATTAACAGACATTTCATAGTTGCATTTCCTTTGTTCAGAATTTCAGAAACTGTTCCTTCTCCAAAAATATTTTATTTTTTCTATCAGAAATCCTTGGGAGGTCACTTGTGCTTTCTTGTGCTGGAAACTAGACGCCCATTCATCTGTCGAGACATCCAATTATTGTAATATCTATGCACAGCATGGTCCAGACAACAGTAATGCAGCTTACACGATTTAAGTCATTTGTTTACAGTAATAAAGGCTTACAATGAAGGATTAGGTCAAAGTATTTTATTGAATTAAAAATATATCTATGTACTGGGATGTTTGCTAAATAACAGAGCAGCAGATTCACTGTTTTTCTCCAGTATAAAGACATCAGTATCGGTTCTCTGGATTGATTCCGTTTAAAAACCGAACTTCACAACTATACTGAGGAGGAAAGTGATGCGCCTCCTCTGAGATCCTGACACATTAACCGCAGTAATACAATGAAAAGAAAAAATCGCGTGGCAAAAAATAAGGTTCGAACAAATGAATCTTTTAAGGTTTTAAATCTCCTTGCTTAGATTCAAACTTGTGAAAAAAATAAATACACTTATACCATCAGTGGCAGGAAAAATAAACGGACATAATACTGAAAAGGTTCGGCATTTTTTGCTCTCCTAAAAGCAGCACTAACATGTGAAATTTCACCTACACATCAATAACCAGATTATTGGATCCCCCCTCCAGACTTTTTCTGTATTGGTCAAGCCAGTCTCTGAGCTCTGAGATCCGATAGCCCTCAGGTCCTCTGTCCCCTTGGTAAACTACCTTTCCCTCCTGCAGAATGTAAAGTCTGTCAAAATAGGCTCCGTAGGCGGCGTTGGTGGAGTTCTCCATGCTGTCCACCACCACGGCGCAGCCGGGTACCTCCATGCGCATCAGCTGCGCAGCCTGCAACCTGTCCTCCAGGCGCCTGTGTTTTGGGATCTGATACGGCGCGTCGGTGCTCTTCCAGCCGTCGGAGGGATGCGCTTCCTCGATGTACACAACCACGGAGTCGGCTATGTCCGCGTTCTGCTGCACGACCCCTTTGAAAGCCTTCAGACGCGCCATGAACGGCGGTCAGGTACAACTGCCAAAGTTGAGGATGAGCGGTCTCTTGTCCTTCGCGTGGTCGAGAATCCGGCAGCGCCGCTGGTCTGCCAGCTGGACAACTTCTGTGTTGGGAGCTGGATGTCCGAGATGCGCCGCTTTCAGGTAGTCCAGTTTATGTCCGTGCCAGACTGCCTTAAGGGACTCTAAGCTAAACAGTCGATTGGAGTCCGATATGCACAGAGGAGGATCGATGGCATCGCCACCCTGTTCTTTCATTCTGTAGAAAACCCTTTTCCTTATGCACAAAAAGTCAAGCAGCCAAAACGCAACAGCTGCTGCCAAAAAGCGAGGCAGCAGGATCAGACAAACTATTGCATTTTTAATAGCTTTCATTGTATTCATTATGACCTGTTATGACAAACTGGATGATCTTGCGCTCTATCGCGATCTTGTGGGCTGAAGTTTGGGTTCTCGCAACTTCAACTCCTTTTATAGTACCAGCAGATTTAAATGAATCACACCCCGCCTCCAAACTGGGGCCAAGGCCTCACATGGTGGGGATTACCTTCTGTCAGCGCCACAGTTTAAGACCCAAGGATGCAGGAAAAGGTAAGCCACAGCAGAGGTTGTTTGCAAAAACCTGTTGGAGATAACAAACTCTGAGTTTAAAAAAGTATGTTTTAAGGAAGATTTTGAAAAAAAATGGAGGTGAGTGACTAAAGTCACAATGTTTGTTAAGGTAAAGAGTGTGGGTTTATACCTTTCGAGCAATTT